TAATCATTTCTCCTCATGGAGTAACTGGGGCTTTCTGATTTATTTTGTGGAACTTTAGTTTGTAGGAAAGCATATACATAGGGTTAAATCTTGTTGGTTTCTGCTCTGGAGAATGTTTCCAACATCCCTTTTTTCCTGGTAATGTTCAAGGACTGGCTCCATAAGTCTTCAGTCTCTCGATAACTGTGTCTCTGGTCTATCATCCTCAGGCTGAATGAGAGGCTTCCCAGTCAGATCAGCAATGTCAACAGTTTGGGGAGGGTTAAATTCAATGTAGTAGACTCAGCCATTGGCTAGATGAACAACAAGCAGTGAAGTGTTTTTTAAATGACCTCCAAGGGCACATGCAAGTTAATCACTGTATCTGTCTGTTAAACTCATCTAGGGCTTCTGCCTATGGCAGTGTCCTTGGAAAACCAGCTCTATTAGGTGAGATTTTTCGGTTCATGAAGGGCCAAGTCATAACGCCATTTGGGATGAGTTTCCCTTGGTCAAGAAAAGCCTTGGCTACATACCAATTTCTGTGCCCTGTACCAAGTTGTCCTGGAGCAGTGCCTGCTAGAGAGGCACTCCAGCTTGAAGTGCTTAGTGATGTACAATAACACAGTGCCCTTGCCTAATCCCAGGGCTGGGGCCGTAATGATCACTGCATGCAGTAGCTGTGGGGATGCCCCCGCAACCATGGACAGAGGCCAAGGCCGTGCCAACCGTAGGGCTTTGGTCTGGCCTGGGCGCTCACCTGATCCACAGCCAGGGTACCAGGTGGCAGAAAGCACTTTTAATTCTATTTTTCCAAGTTAATCAGTGCTTTCCTTTCCCTCTATAAAATGTGCTGGCTTAGAAACAACTCAAACATTCACCAATTAGTAAATGGATAAACACATTTTGGTATATTCATGCACTGGAATGTTATTGAGCCATAAAAATAAATGAAGTACTGATAAATGCTACAATACGAATGAACCCTAAAAACACTGTGTTCAAAGAGGCCAGATACAAAGGGCCACCTTTCATGATTCCATTTATATGAAACACTCAGAATTGGCATATTTATAGGGGCAGAAAGCAGATTCATGGTTGCCAGGGCTGATAGAGGAGGAAAGGGGAGTGACTGCTAATGGATGTCAGAGTTTCTTTTGGGACCTGCTAACTGTAGGGTCACTTTTTTAAATTGTGGTAAAACACACATAAAACTTACCGTTAGTGACATTTACTATATTCATAAGGTTGTACCACAGTCACCACTATCTAGTTCCACAATATTTTTATCACCCCACATGTAAGCTCTCTTTTGGTCTTTGAAGGTGAAAAATATCACTAGAATATATCTGGGGGAGGAATATCTTAGTTCATCAATCAGGTTTAGTACTCAGTATAACTTAGTCTGAAAGTTAGTTTTATTTTATTTTATTTTATTTTATTTTTATTTTTTTTATGCCCAAAGAAGTTGTCTTATTTGATTACTGCTTTCTCCATCTGTTCCTTCTGGAACTCCTACAGTTCCTGTATCTTCCTTCCCTGTCTTTTACCTTCTCACTAGTGGCTTCCTTTTCTTTGCATTTCTGTTTTGTATCATGAGGCAACTTTCTGTTTGATCTTCTTAAGTTTGATTTTTAAGAGTATCCATTCTATTTTTTAATTCAATTGAAAGTCAAAAACTGTAAAACCATGTTTTTCCCCCTTCAAGCATAGGGTATTTTTAAGTTCCCTTTTTTTTTTGAGACAGAGTCTCACTCTGTAGCCCAAGCTGGAGTGCAGTGGCGCAATCTCAGCTCACTCAATGCAACCTCTGCCTCCTGGTTCAAGTGATTTTTTCCACCTCAGCCTCTGGAGTAGCTGGGCCACCATGGCCAGTTAATTTGTTCCCTTCTATTTCTTACATTAAATTTGCCTTACAGGAGCCATTGATTTTGGCTGTTTAGCTTGGTTTTCCGTTCCTCAAACTACTGGATTTTTTTCTTTCTTTCTTTTTTTTTTTTTTGAGACAGGGTCTCACTCTGCCCTGTCAGGCAGGCTGGAGGGTAGTGGTGCAATCTTGGCTCACTGCAACCTCCTCCAGTTCAAGCGATTTTCCCACATCAGGAGTAGCTGGGACTATAGGGGTGTGCCATCACGCCTGTGCTTGGCTAATTTTTGTGTTTTTTGGAAGAGATAGGGGTTTCACCATGTTGGCCAGGCTGGTACTGGGTTTCTTTTAATTTTTTATATGATCTGTGCCCGATTCCATCAGCTGCCACTGGTTCCTTTAGCAGTTGTGGAGTCAGCAGAGAATTGACAGGTGGTGAAAGCTAAGATAGGAATTCTTCAGTCAGCTGACAAAGACAGCCATCTCAGGGCTAAACAGAAAGCAAGCTGAAGCAGTTTCCCTAGTTACTGGGCTATGTGACTTGGCTTACCTGGCTGGGCCACTGTCTTTGCCACAAGCTTAGCCATGAATTAGGCAACTTTCTAGGCTACTGTACTGTCCTTCCTCCCAGCTTTGTAAATAATGAGGTCAGAAGGTATCCAGAGGCAAAACTGCTAAATTGTCTCCTCAGAAGCCCAAAGGCTAAGATGCATAGACTCACTCCAGGTTCCACACTATGCTTTGCACCGCCACATCTACTCCCTACCTATATTTCAGCCATTTTTCTTTGTAGCTGAACCACCCAGGAGGAAATTTAGATTGCCAGGGAGTTATAGAAACATACATAAGCCATCATCTTTAAAAACTTCATTAAGGTAATTCTCTTTTTATAGTATATTGTCTGAAGATACTTATTTATATAATGGAAGCTTAAATCTTATGAATATAAATCTTATTGATGAGTGCAGCCCCAACTATGGCCCAGAGAGATGGAAAGACTCATGCCAGAGTATCTCTGTTGTATAGGTGGGATTAGAGATTGGCCTTTTATTTCTTAACACAGGGATCTTTTCAATACATAGACCCATGGCTACCTTTAAAAATTCCATCAGCTCACACCTGTAATCCCTGCACTTTGGGAGGCCAAGGCGGGCGGATGGAGACCATCCTGGCCAACATGGTGAAACCCTGTCTCTACTAAAAAACACAAAAATTAGCTGGGAGTGGTGGCGCATGCCTGTAGTCCCAGATACTTAAGAGGCTGAGGCAGGAGAATTGCTTGAACCTGGGAGGCAGAGGTTGCAGTGAGCCGAGATCATGCCACTGCACTCCAGCCTGGCGCCTGGCACCTGGTGCCTGGCAACAGAGCGAGACTCTGTCTCAAAAAATAAAAAAATAAATAAAATTCCATCAGTATATTCACCTGCATAGCTGTTTCTTCTCCTGCTCCATCTAGTCCAATTCCTTTTCTGGATATTAGGCTAAGTCTGTTTATTTCCTTCACCTCACTTTTATTTCCTCCTGAAGTTTATTCTGTTTATTTCCTACCTGCCTTTCAAGATCTCTCTCTCTCTGTGCTTACAGTGAGGGGGTATGCGGAAGGAGTAGTAAAGTGTTTAGGAGGGAAGCCTAGGAAAAGTAAGGACAGAGGACATTTGCCAAAATTCTGAAGCATCTCCAGGAGCCCTTTGCCCCAGGCTTTGCCTTCTTGTCATTAGCACCCCTCATCTTTTCCCCTGGGTCAAGTATCTTAGCACTGACTCGATTCTCTGACCCCTCTTTATATTCTCCTTCATTCTACTTTTCTTTCCTCCCTGCTTTCCTAGCACTTCTATTCCAGTGCTCTTCCCTTTCTTTAAAGCCTCTGAATCACAGCAAGGGTAGGAAAATGGAATTAGAGTAGTCCCCCCATCCATGGTTTTACTTCTCTGTGCTTCAAAAACATTAAATGGAAAATTCCAGAAATAAACAATTCATAAGTTTGAAATTGTGTGCTGCTCTGAGTTGTGTGATAAAATCTTACATAATCCTGCTCCATCCTGCCTGGGACATAAATCAACCCTTTGCCCAGCATAGTCACGCTGTATAACCTACCTGCCTGTCTGTCACTTAAGTAACGGTTCTGGTTATGAAGTGGACTACCCTAGTATTGCAGTGCTTTGTTCAAGTAACCCTTATTTTACTTAATAACGGCCCCAAAGTACAAGAGCAGCGATGCTGGCATATTGTTATAATTGTTCTATTTGATTACTAGTTCTTGTTGCTAATCTTTTGCTGTCTAATTTAGAAATTAAACTTCATCATAGGCATATATATATATAGACTCAAAACAGTGTATATATAGGATTCAGTACTATCTGCAGCTTCAGGGATCCAGCAGCTTCAGGGATCCACTGGGGATGGGATCCTGGAACGTATTCTGCAGATGAGGGTGGGCTAGTAGACAAAGATCTGGACATTCATTCATGTGCCACTAAGAATCATCAGACAGTGAAAAGCATACCACACTCTGGAAGGCTCTGATCAACTTTTTATGCTTCTCCTATTGCAAAACACAAAATATTAATAGCTTCAAAATGAATGGCTACAGCAATCCCTCAGTATCTTAATTTATAGACTAGGGTTATGTTTTCTAGTATAAAACAGCATTCTGACAACATAGGGAGGCAGCAAGGTATAGCAGCTAAGAATTAGATTGAGTTCCAACCCCAGCTCCTTCATATACTAGCTATGTGATCTCACTCAAGTTATGTAACTATAAGTTGCCTCATCTGTGATAGACCTTAGCATAAGAGCTTAAATAAAACATTCATATTCATGTTACTATCACATGCAATCCTTATTCCTTGTCTTAAATCCATGAAAAACCATCATAAATGCCATTTCGTGTTTTAGAAAATGTTGATATAATGTTTAATAAGCTTGCTGCTGCCCAGGTTAATATGCATCTAAGCTCCTCTTAAATTTTATTACCAAAAAATGTTTTAGTGGACAATATCTTTACGGTTAAATGAGGATACTTGTAACCAGCCTTTTAAAATATTAAATTACACCTTGAGGATAAAACACACACACACACACACACACACACACACACATACACATACACACACACACACGCACATACACATACCAGGAATCTGATATTTCTTACCAAGACAGTTTGAAGCATCAACTTGTTCTTTCAAAAAATCAACACACATTTTCTTCACAGGTTCAATCTGATATTGGTTTGCTGCATCCAACAAAGACTGAACATTGTTGCTATTCACGGAAATTCTGCAAATAAGTTAGAGGAAATATCAATTACCCATGATTTTTTGTTTAAATGTTACTGTGGAATGTATTCTAACAGCCCCTGAAATTAAACATAAAATTAAACTTTCAGTCCTTGAATTAGTATGGCATAGGATACTCACACTCTTCCATCCTTGCAGTTTTTCATTCTGAAGAGTTCGTAGCGCACCAATTTGTTACAACAATGCTTTGCCATGGTAGACACCAATATTACTTTTTTGAAATAAAAACAATCTTTGTTGACTCACCTAGCAGTATAAGCAAATTCCACAAGTTGTTCAATAATATCAGGTTCAGCATCTTTGAGTTCTACTTCAAAAGACTTTGATTCAAGCATGTTAGCTATAATCAAGAGAAGAAACATACATGGAATGTGTCATCTTCCTAGCTTTTACAGCAGTTAAGAACTTAAGGCCACAGAACAGTGAAGAGATTGAAAAAGTGGTCAGTTGATAATTAAAGGAAAAAAATGTGCTTTCATTAGACCTAAAGGCCTGATGCCTTTATTGTTATTGTTAAATGTGGAGAAAAATAACAGGACCATTCTGTCTGGAAGAAAATACCCCAGCAAGCCCAACATTCCTATAGTAAATGCAAATTAATTCTCTACATAAAATGTGCCTTAAATTAAGCTAAGAAAAGAGTGAATTAGTGTATTTTTTTAAAGCCCATATTAACAGAGACATAAAACTAAATTTTGGGTTTTTCCCAAGCTCATAAAATAGCATTAAGTAAAGGAAATAGGACTTGGACCCAGTTCTTAACACCAAATCCAAGGTTCTTTCTAGCACAATAAGCTGTATCTTTTTTTTTTTTTTTTTTTTTAAGTTTAGCTTGCAGGCTCAAACGTCATGACATTTATCTACTTCTCTGCCTTTCTACCTGAGGTTAAAAAGAAAACCCTGGGCTTCCCCCACTCCCCACCCAGGTTGGAGTACAGTGGCATGATCTTAGCTCACTGCAACCTCTACCTCAACCCTGGGCTTTTAAGTAGAAGCTGTACCTCCATCAAGAAAGGAATCAGGCCTTTAGGTCTAATGAAAGGACATTTTTCCCTTTGATTATCAGCTGACCACTTTTTCAATCTCTTCACTGTTCTGTGGCCTTAAGTTCTTAGCTACTTTAAAAGCTAAAAAAATGACATATTCTCTTAGATTTTACTTCATTCTCATAGAAGAAATAACGGCATGTTTTACTACCTTAAGATACTTACTTGTGAACATTAAGTTAAAAAAATGACTGGCTGCAGCAAGAACAACACGATGAGCAGGTATCTTTCTTTCCTGGACCATGAGGATCACATCACACAGTGTTTTCTAATCAAAGGAAAAATATAGAAAATAAGTAGAGGCTCACTAGCCTAGCTTGGCAATATATATTAAAAAAGTGCTTGCCAAATGCCTTATTTCTATTTTCTATTTAAAGCCAATCTTTTTCCAGCACAGAATTTCTTGTTAAGATATATTTAGGAAGGACTTACAGAGTTGCTGCTATTTAGTATAAAAATTTGGCACTAAGTTTCCAAGTCAAGAGGAAAGAAAAAGTTCCACATAATCAGAAACAAAGAAGTCTACTAATCCTTCAGAGAAGTCTTTTTTTTTCCTGACACAAATTCTAAGATAATTTCTCATGGTAAACTTTTCTGGGGAAATTAAATGACATCATCGCAGTGCCCCTGATAGTTTTTCAAACACAGCAATTAGTTTTTATAGGATTTATTTTAAATTATTTATCCTTTGTGAAATCCACAATATATACTGCATTTCCTAAGAAAGTAGCATTCACAGACCTAACCTGAAACAGAAACAACTCAGAATACAGAGAGTAGATGAACTAAATGTCCCTTTAGCAATCTTTCCTTAAATGATACTTCTCTCAAATGTACTTCTGATAGAAGTTGGATAGCAGCCAGTTTTAAATTGTGATTTCTGACCAAGGCCAAAATAGTATCACCCTAAGCTGCTTAAAAAAGGCAGCTCTGAGTAAATACTTAATTAAAATCTGGGGAAAATGGAATAATAAAGAAAAATATTTAAGGCTTACTAGAACCATTATAAATGAATATCAAGGAAAAACAAGTCCTTTTTGCCAAATAAAATTTTAATTTCTTAACAAAGTTAAAGATATAATAAAGGTCAGGCTTATAGAAAACTTAGCACATGCAATGTGTTAAGCACTGTCCTCAGCACTGGGAATATGAGGGAAATAATATATTCAGAGTAAAAAAAAAAAATCACAAATCTACGACTGGCTTCATGGCTCAGTGGATTTGCAAATTTTTAGTATTTTACTAAAACTGTTAATATAATTTCTGATAAAGAAATCCCTGTTATTTCTTATTGTATTATTTTGTGAAAAAAAAATCAAAATAAAATAATAATGTTTAGAATGATAGATAGTAAGCCCCAAATAGCAGGCTAACAAATGAACAAAATTTCACTTTTACAGCTTATTTGAAGATTTTTAAATAAGGCCTACTGACTATTGTTTAAAACTTATATGCAGATTTATGGCTAAAGCTATGTTTATTCTCACGGTGTCTTCAATTTTTAAATTTTATTTCCTTTCATTTGGGGAGGGGGCACAGAGGCGGAGCTCTCAGGTGATTTTGCTACATACTACACAAAAAGATACCAAGTAGCAAAACCAAATTAACTATTTGGTTACCACCAAAAAGCAAGTGATCAAGTTGCCTTGGAGGTCGAGGGAGGGAGAGGAGAGGGAGAAAGGGGTGGGAAGTGAGAAATAAAGATGATAAAGCAGCAAGCAAATCAGATTATATCAGATCATAGGAAAGAAATCTATGGCTAGTGATGGGAACTTTTTTTTTTTTTGAGACAAAGTCTTGCTCTGTCCAGTCAGGATGGAATGCAGTAGCGTGTTCAGCTCACTGCAACCTCCACCTTCTGGGTTCAAGCAATTCTCCTGCCTTAGCCCTTAGCCTCCTGAGTAGCTGGGACTATGGGCACCCACCACCACACCTGGCTTTTTTTTTTTTTTTTTTGAGACGGAGTCTTGCTCTGTTGCCAGGCTGTAGTGCAGTGGGGCAATTTCAGCTCATTGAATCATTGCAACCTCCGCCTCCCGGGTTCAAGCAATTCTTTCGCCTCAGTCTCTTGAGTAGCTGGGATTACAGGCACGCACCACCACATCCAGCTAGTTTTTGTATTTTCAGCAGAGAGGGAGTTTCACCATGTTGGCCAGGATGGTCTCAATCTTGACCTCGTGATCCGCCCGTCTCGGTCTTCCAAATTTGCTGGAATTACAGGCGTGAGCTACCGCTCCTGGCCGGTCACGCCTGGCTAATTTATGTATATGTATGTGTGTGTGTGTATGTATGTGTATATGTATGTATGTATGTATATGTATATATATATTTAGACGAGGTTTCATCATGTTGGCCAGGCCGGTCTTGAACTCCTAACCTTGTGATCCACCTCCCTCGGCCTCCCAAAGTGCTGGGATTATAGGCATGAGCCACCATGCCTGGCCTACTAGGGATGGGAACTTCTTTTTTTTTTTTTTTTTTTTTTTTTGAGACGGAGTTTCGCTCTTGTTACCCAGGCTGGAGTGCAATGGCGCCATCTCGGCTCACCGCAACCTCCGCCTCTTGGGTTCAGGCAATTCTCCTGCCTCAGCCTCCTGAGTAGCTGGGATTACAGGCACGTGCCACCATGCCCAGCTAATTTTTTGTATTTTTAGTAGAGACAGGGTTTCACCATGTTGACCAGGATGGTCTCGATCTCTTGACCTCGTGATCCACCCGCCTCGGCCTCCCAAAGTGCTGGGATTACAGGCTTGAGCCACTGCGCCCGGCAGGATGGGAACTTCTATGAAACATAGGGCTAAACCAAAATACGGCAAAAACATCTCCAAGGCATACTCAACGACAGAGAGTTTATAAGTAGAATGACTTTATAGGCACTGAAGGAGGTTGAAGAAATGCAGATCTTTATATAACAACTGAGATTTAGTCTAAGATCAAACTCCAGCTGGATATTAATGTCTTGAGGAGTGGGGTGATTAAGTGGGAGAAATCTTTTGTACCCAGATGGTACATTTATTTGCCTGTACTACAATAGACTGATACGTTCCAATAATAATGGGACTGACCTATAGCAAAAGCCTCCTCCTGTTATCAGTATGCTCAAAAAAGGTACATCCAGACAAGAAATAGGGGCTGGGTGTGGTTGCTCACACCTGCAATCCCAGCACTTTTGGGAGGCCAAGGCAGGTGGATTGCTTGAGCCCAGGAATTTGAGACCAGCCTGGGCAACATGATGAAACTGTCTCTCAAAATAAATAAATAAATAAATAAATAAATAAAATTAGCCAGGTGTGGTGGTGCGTGCCTGTAGTCCCAGTAACCAAGGGAGGTAGGTAGTGCTGAGGTAAGAGGATCGAGGATCACTTGAGCCCCAGAGGCAGAGGTTGTAGTAAGTAGGGATTGTATCACTGTACGCCAGCCTGGGTAACACAATCAGACTCTGTCTCAAAAAAAAAAAGAAAGAAAAGAAAAGAAAGATACAAAGAAATAAAACAAAATGGGAAGAGACAGACACCAAGCAGAATTGAAGAATTTGAAAGGTAACAAATCCTTGGTGAGTTGAAGAGTGAGAAACCTAAAAACAAAAAACCTAACTTCTGAAGAATACATGTTCACTGGTTAAACCTGACGGAAAAAAATCCCTGCAATTCTTCTGTCCATGTCCCCTCCCATATTTACCCTTGTATTTATGATATTTATCTGTATTATCTTTAGTCTCTTATAAACAGTATAGATTTTGTTGTGACTTAGTCTGAAGTTCTCATCATCTAAGATTACTGGTAGCATTTTATTTCAATCCTTTATACTTCTTGTAACATGTTTTATCGTATATGTGTCATCTTCTTGTATGCTATTATCATTTTTGCTGTCTTTTTTGCTTTGACAGTCGATGTGTCAGTTGCTATTTTGATCATTTTCTTTGCATATTTTTCTTCCTTTATACATTTTTCAAATATTTGTAAACTGAATCCAGAAGAGCATTAATCAAATATCACCCTAGGAATGCAAAGAGGGCTCAAGAACAATGATTCTATTAATGTGATTCATTATATCAGTAGGCTAAAAGAGAAAAGCTTAATGTAGAAAACCTTTAATAGATGCCAAAAGGGTGTGATAAATCAAAAATTCATTTCCTAAGACTCTTTAATAAATAAAATGATTTGTCTGTATGCTGAAGATCAACAGCAGTAAAAAATGGGCAAGTGATTGAGTCATTACACTAAAGCCTGGGCGACAGAGGGAGACCCCAATCTGAACAGACATTTCTCAAAACAAGACATGTAAACGTCTAACAAACATATGAAAAATTGCTCAACATCACTAATCATCAGGGAAATGCAAAGTAAAACGACAATGAGGTATCATCTCAACCCAGTTAGGATGGTTATTATTAAAGACAAAAATTAACAAATGCTGGTGAGGATATGGAGAAAGAGAACCAATTCCTCCTCCACCTTTTTTCTGAAACATGGTCTCACTCTGTCACTCCGGCTGAAATCCAGTGGCATGATTCCAGCTCACTGCAGTCTCAAACTCCTGGGCTTCAGAGATCCTCCTGTCTTAGTCCCCCAAGTAGCTGGAACTACAAGTGAGTGCCACCATGCTTGGCTAATCTTTTGTAGAGATGGAGTTTCACCATGTTGACCAGGCTGATCTTGAACTCCTGAACTCCAGTGATCCATCCACCTTGGCCTCCCAAACTGCGACGATTTGAGCCACTATGCCCACCCAGAAACAGGAACTTTTTTTTTTTTTTTTTTTTTTTTTTGAGACGGAGTTTCACTCTTGTTACCCAGGTTGGAGTGCAATGGCACGATCTCGCTCACTGCAACCTCCGCCTCCTGGGTTCAGGCAATTCTCCTGCCTCAGCCTCCTGAGTAGCTGGGATTACAGGCACACACCACCATGCCCAGCTAATTTTTCGTATTTTTAGTAGAGACGGGGTTTCACCATGTTGACCAGGATGGTCTCGATCTCTTGACCTCGTGATCCACCCGCCTCGGCCTCCCAAAGTGCTGGGATTACAGGCTTGAGCGAAACAGGAACTTTTATAAGATGTTGGTGGGAGTGTAAACTAGTACAGCCAATATAGAGAACAGTATGGAAATTACTCAAAAAACTACATATGATCTAGCAATCTCACTGCTGGACATTTATCCATAGGAAAGGAAATCATTATAAAAAAGAGACATCTGCACCCCCATTTTTACTACAGCACTATTCACAACAGTCAAGATACAGAGTCAACCTAGGTGTCCAATGACAGATGAATAAAGAAATGTGGTATATATACACCATGGAATATCATTCAGCCATAGCAAATAATGAAATCCTGTCTTTCATGGCAGTATGGATGGAACTAGAAGACATTATGTTCGTTGAAATAAGCTAGGAACAGAAAGTTAAATACTACATGTTCTTACTCATATGTGTAACCTAAAAATGTTGACCTTATCCAAGTAAGAAGCAGAACAGAAGATACTAGAGGCTGGAAAGGAGTGGAGAAAGGGGAGGGGAAAAGAAGGGATAAGGAGAGGATTGCTAAAAGATACAAAATTACAGCTAGATGAGAGGAAAACCTTCTAGTAGTCTGTATCACTGTAGGATGACTACAGTTAACAATAATATTAGATTCAAGCTGGGAACAGTGGCTTATACCTATAATCGTCCCAGTACTTTGGTAGGCTGAGGCAGGATTGCTTGAAGCCAGGAGTTCAAAACCAGCTTGGGCAACATAGTGAAATCCTGGCTCTCCTAAAAATAAAAAATTAGTCAGCTGTGGTAGCACATGTCTGTAGTCCCAGCTACTTGAGAGGTTGAAATGACAAGATCACTTGAGCCCAGGAATTTGAGGTTGCACTGAGCTATCAGCCTGGGTGACAGAGCAAGACCCTGTTTCTCATAAAATGATAAACATTAGATTCCAGAAAGAAGATATTGAATGTTCCCAACAAAAAGATATAATAAATGTTAGAGAGAATGGATATACTAATTAGCCTGATTTTTTTTTTTTTTTTTTTTTTTTGAGACGGAGTTTCGCTCTTGTTACCCAGGCTGGAGTGCAATGGCGCAATCTCGGCTCAACACAACCTCCGCCTCCTGGGTTCAGGCAATTCTCCTGCCTCAGCCTCCTGAGTAGCTCGTCTTACAGGCGTGTGCCACCATGCCCAGCTACTTTTTTGTATTTTAGTAGAGACAGGGTTTCACCATATTGACCAGGATGGTCTCGACCTCTTGACTTCGTGATCCACCCGCCTCGGCCTCCCAAAGTGCTGGGATTACAGGCTTGAGCCACCGCGCCCGGCCACCAGCCTGATTTGTTAACTATACATTATGTGTAATGAAACATCATTTTATACCCTGTAAGTACAACGACAATTTGTCGATTAAAGAATTTTAAAAAAAACAACCAAACAGCAGACATCACATGCAATGGTGAAACATTAGATGTGTTCTTGTTTCAAGCTTGAAACAAGGTATACGGGGCTGGGTGTGGTGACTCATGCCTGTAATCCCAGCACTTTAGGAGGTGGAGGGGGATAGGAGTTTGAGATCAGCCTGGGTAATATGGTAAAACCTATCTCTACCAAAAATACAAAAACATAGCAAAGCATGGTGGCACACATCTGTGGTCCCAGCTATTTGGGAGGCTGAGGTGAATGGATCACTTGAGCCCAGGGGCAAAAGGTTGCAGTGAGCTGAGATTGCACCACTGCACTCCAGCCTAGGTGAGAGAGTCACACTCCATCAAAACTAAATAAAATAATAAAATAAACCACATATACATATCCTTGTCATTACTCTTATTCAAACTTGCTCTGGAAATATAGCCAAATCAGTAAGAAGATAAAGATAAACCAACTTAACACTTACAGAAATAACAAGCAAAGTCAGTAAAATGGCCAGACACAAATAAGATAAATATTGAAACAAAATTAGCTATCTTGTATGAGTAATAGCCTAAACACAAATGAGGGAAAAAAAACCTGTCACAGAAGCAACAAAATAGTATTGAGAAACATAAGAAATGCGAGGGATCTTAAGTGGCAATGTGACATATGATAAAGATACCATTTCAAAAATGTAGTGAGGTAGTGGAGAACAGGACATGTTTATTGCAGTGAAATTATTCTGTAGGATATTGTAATGGTGGATATGTCATTATACATTTGTCAAAACCTGTAACATGTACAACACAGACTGAACCCTAATGTAAACTATGAAAGTTAATAATATGTAACAATATTGGGGGTTAGGCACAGTGGCTCATCCCTGTTATCCCAGCACTTTGGGAGGTTGAGACAGATGCATCACTTGAGGCCAGAATTTTAAGACCAGCCTGGCCAACATAGCAAAACCCTGTCTCCACTAAAAACACAAAAATTAGCTGGACATGGAAGTACACACCTGTAATCCCAGCTTCTTGGGAGGCTGAGGCATGAGAATCACTTGAACCCAGGAGGCAGAGGTTGCAGTGAGCAGAGATTGTGCCACTTGCACTCCAGCCTGGGCAACAGAATGAGACTGTGTCTCAAACAAACAAAAAAGTAACAATATTGACTCATCAATTGTAACAAATATACCACACTAATGCAATATGTTAATGACAGGGATAACTGTGTGTAGAGAAGGTGGTGAGGGAATAAATATCAAGGCTGTACTTTCTGTTCTCAATTTTTCTTTTTTGAGATAGGGTCTTGCTGTGTCTGCCAGGCTGATAGTGGTGCAATCTCAGCTCATTGCAGCCTCCAACACCTGGGCTCAAGTGATCCTTCCACCCCTCCTCCCAAGTAGCTAGGATCACAGGCATGTGCTACCATGCCTGGCTAATTTTTTATTTTTTGTAGACACGAGGTCTCACTGTGTTGCCCAGGATGGTCTCCAACTCCTGTTTTAAAGCAATCTTACCTACCACCTTGGCCTCCCAAAATACAGGGATTACAGGAGTGAGCTCTCACACCTGGCTCAAATTTTCTGTGAAACCAACACTGCTCTTAAAAAAGAAAGTCTATTAAGCCGGGAGTGGTGGCTGACACCTGCTCACTTTGGAAGGCTGAGGCAGGTAGATCATGAGGTCGGGAGATCAAGACCATCCTGGCCAACATGGTGAAACCCCGTCTCTACTAAAATACATACAATTAGCCAGGCATGGTGGTGTACGCCTGTAGTCCCAGCTATTCAAGAGACTGAGGCAGAGAAATTGCTTGAACCCAGGAGGCGGAGGTTTCAGTGAGCCGATATGATGCAACTGTGCTCCAGCCTGGCAATAGAGCAAGACTCCATCTCAAAAAAAAAAAAAAAAAAAAAAAAGTCTATTAAATAATGTGGTAAGAGATCAGATAATCGAAAATGATATTGAGATAACTTAATCATTTAGGGAAAACATTAGACTCCTCACTCATAATGTAATCCCTCTTCCCCTGGGAGGGTAAGTACTGAGAAGGAAGTTTCAGTCTCCATTCATCACATGTGGAAAAGTAAATATAGGATAAACAAGAATGCAGCAGAGGTCACTGATAACACATAGTCAGGCCTTCTGGCTCATTATTCTTTCCTAGGTCTGCTCCAAAAGTGGGACATCGCTCATTGGGGCAGGCTTGCCCGTCTGGCAGGAGAGAACTGTTCCTGCTCATTAGCTGCTCTGCCTCAGACTTCGTAGGTAAGTTTAGTTGAGGGGAGAAAGAACATAAAGCCCAATTTAATGCTCCAGTCAATGTCCTCTAGTTTGTCTTCATGATTAATTTATCTGTCTTTTGTGTTTACTGCTCAATTGTTTAGAACTAGTAGTGAAGGGTCCTCAAATCTGTATGCATTGATACTCAAGGCATCATAGAGAAACACAGAAACTTTGGTGCTGCTTTAATGCCTGCAAGATTTGGGGGCTTTTACAGGAAGAATCCTTTGGTGCTAGGAAAGGCTCATCTCCGAAAAGGCAGACATTTTGGGCATCTGTTGGTACCGTGACCTTTTGCTCTCTATCAAGTTTGCCAGATAGGATTACAAAAGGCAGCTAGGTCCACGTAAGTGCTAAAGCACTGTATGAGGATTTAGCTTTTAATCATATGTGCTGTCATTAGTAGGAGGCATGCAATCAACTGCCCCACATTCTATTCTTTGTCATATCCCAAGGAGGAGACTGAGGAATGATTAACTTTTAGATTTATGTGGCTTGTCAGCAAGGTTCTGAAATCACTCCCTCCCAGCATGATATCAAATTGGCATTGGGTATAAATCCCTGAGCAGATTGTAGATTCAACTATAGCTGGGTGGTAGATTTAAATTACTAAAAATATAAAGGGGAATGGGGCCCTTATTATATGGGGTAAATAATCTTCTTGGATTAGTTACTAGAAAGCCTCAATAAAGCCATAATAAACCCAAAGGCTAAGAAACATTAAAAAGACTTCTCTAGAAATCACATTTGTCAGAAAAGCAAAGAAAAACAGAAGTGAACTTAAACACATAAACAATTAGAATAAGGCAAGCAGGATATGAAAGAAAAACAAAGGAAGATACCTAGACTAAGCAGAAGGAAAAGGGGGACTGCTTTCCTTAAGGGAACCATATGCCAAGTGAGGCCAGACAGCTTTGAAAAGGAAAAGAGATTTGGGCATAAGTGCCCTTTAAGAGATGGTACTAAGAAAGAAAAAAGCTATTTTTGTTGTTACTTATTCAAGGAAGCTGTTATGGACCAAACAGGAACATAGGAAGAGAAGTAAGAATTCAGGAGTAGATTAAAATGGTTCTCTCAGAAAGGCCTGGATCAGCACTTTGAAAGCCAAGGCATGTGGATCACCTGAGGTCAGGAGTTCAAGACCAGCCTGGCCAACATGGCAAAACCCTGACTCTACTAAAAATACAAAAATTAGCTGGGTATGGTGGTGCATGCCTGTAATAGCAGCTACTCAGGAAGCTGAGGCAGGAATATCACTTGAACCCCGGAGGCAGAGGCTGCAGTGAGCCAAGACTGTGCCACTGCACTCCAGCCTGGATCACAGAGACAGACTTGATCTTAAAAAACAAAAACAAACAAACAATTAAGAGAAAATTAGAGGACTTCCTTGAAGAATAAGACAACTATAATTACAGTTAAGTTCAGACAGATTTGAAAAGGAGAAAGATGAGCAGGAGTCTTTCTTGCATTATTAAGTAATTTCCAAGGTGATATTGCTGGGAAGACAGGTTGGCATTTGCTATATGGCATATGGTATACAGCGAAACTGGGAAGTTTGTGGACTACGGGAGAGTACTAGATCACATTAAAGGAAGACAAACAACCCAAAAGTAGTCCAGTTCTAAGTTAGATGCTGGACATTCCCACAATTAGAATTACTACTGAAAGTAGTGAAGGCTGGCAGTAACTGAACTAATTCTGACTACATGGGCTCTCTTATTTTCCACTAGGGGAAGCTCTGTAAAAAAGGCATTAGAGAAATAAGTATGCAAGCAAAACAAACACCAAAATCATAAGGAAAAGAAAAAGAAAGGTACTTTATTCTAAACATGTCAGTTACCTGATATAGAAAGGAAAAGATCCAACTTAAGCAGGTTAACAAGTCAGCTGAGGCTGTGTGAAAGGAACAGATGTACCACAGAGGAAAATGCAACACTAGAGACATAACCCATTTTGACACAAGCAGGTGACAGAAAGGAGCATGTCTGCTGCTGTGTTTGCAAGGCATAGAAGACTCAAATACTGAGGAAAAGCAAGGTTTAAAAGTGCAGGATGGACATTTAAACCTTGCTTTTAATTAAGCTTTAAATGTGCAAGATGGACAATAGGGAAAGAAGGGAAACTCTATGATACCTGGTAGCTGAGTATTATAACCCTGGTAAATTTCTAACAACTGTCCAAGAAAAAGAATGAGTCCTATGCCAGAGAAGCATCATTATACGTTGAGGAAATCTCTTCTATAGATGGTAAACAGTGCCGCTATAAGCCTCTTGATGGAAGATTCCTCCCAACTGAGTTTAGTCCTAGTCTGTAGATTATAGAAAGCCGATTCAGACTGGCAAGCCAAAAGCCTAGATTGTCATATTTTCTTTGAAAACCCTCTGTTCCCCAGAAACCAAAGTTTACATTCTGTTTTTGGCCGGGAAAAATAATGTGGGTTAGGATTGTATAAATAATATGTCAACATCTGGGCTGTTTGGTATAGAGATGAGAGATCTTCTTGTATCAATGCTACGGATGTACTGACATATTGAAAAAGTGTGGCATCAACTACCTTGAAATTGGAGAAATTCAGCTTTGGAGGTGCTAAGCTAACTAAATCCATTCCAATGGAAGACAGCCCACATTGCAGCTGCTGAAGAAGCTACCCTGACTGTACCCAAACACTCAAGCAAATGCTTTTTGGCTGACTAAACTGAACAGTGTAAGAAATCAGAGTGAGCACATATTTGGAATTCAATTGCCTTTCATTTTAATTTAGAGGAAGAGCATAGATGTTGGAATTTAATCATGAGGGGGCTCACAACAGTCATATTTGGAATAATTTATGTCGTGAGTACAGAATTATAAGGAGTGCTTCAGGCCATCATTTGGTTCACCACAGAACATCTAGAGAGCTCTGAATGACACCTTGGCTTAGAAAACTTTGAGATGGGAAACAGAAGTGAACTACCAGCCTATAACATCTCAAGGCCTAGTGTTAATAGTTATTTACCCATTTCAAAGCTTTCTTGGGTAAAAATTCAAATAACTGCTTAAGCTGGTCTTGGAGGATACAAAAAAAAACCAGTTTTTGGTAGAGGAGAGCGGCCACATAAGCATTTAAGATAGAACGAAGCATTCCCTGAGCTAGTAAGAAAATAGGCCAAAAGACAAGGCATCTTGGAGAAAAGAACCCAGAGCTACTTGGTCCAGCTACTTTGTGTTGGAGGTTTAGTGTGGGACTTTGGTGCCTGAATTCTATCATTCAGCCTACTGAGATTCTCAACTCGGAGTTTACATAAGGAAGGATCAATGACCAAATGAGACATAACAAGATGCACTTTTGACTGAAGGGCAAGTACTTGTTAATCTCCCATATGCAGTCTTCTCTCATAAAACAAAGTTGGAAAATGAGGCTTTGCTTGATAAGCCAACTTTAAATTGCCCCTACATATACCAGTAATCTAAATCTTAGAATCTGCATATTCATATGTTCTACAGGAGAAAAATGAAAGAGATGGCTTGGCCCAAACCCAGCTTATGGAGTCCATCTGAACACATACCTTACTTGTCCTACTCAACAGATGGGAGTCCTTAAATACAACAAGGTAGGCTGGGTACCGTGGCTTACGCCTGTAATCCCAGCACTTTGGGAGGCCGAGGTGGGTAGATCACTTGAGGTTGGGAGTTCGAGACCTCAGCCTGACCAAGACGGAGAAATCTCATCTCTACTAAAAATAAAAAAAATTAGCCGAGTATGGTGGTGTAGGCCTGTAATCCCAGCTAGTTGGGAGGCTGAGGCAGGAGAATCACTTGAACCCAGGAGGCTGAGGTTGCAGTGAGCTGAGATCACACCATTGCCCTCCAGCCTGGGCAACAAGAGTGAAACACTGTCTCCAAAACAAAACAAAACAAAACAAAAAACAAAGTAGCTCTCAACAGAGTAACTTTACCATTAATAAAACAGCAGTGTCGACCGGGCGCAGTGGCTCACACCTGTAATCCCCAGCACTCTGGGAGGGCGAGGGGGGTGGATCACATGTTCAGGAGATCGATACCATCCTGGCCAACATGGTAAAACCCCATCTCTAATAAATACAAAAAAATTAGCTGGGCATGGTGGTGGGTGCCTGTAATCCCAACGATATGGGAGGCTGAGACAGGGGAATCACTTGAACCTGGGAGGCAGAGGTTGAAGTGAGCCAAGATCGTACCACTGCCCTCCAGCCTGAGTGACACAGCAAGACTCCATCTCAGAAAACAAACAAACAAAAAAAGACACAGATCTCAGACCTCCTTACCTAAGGTTCTAGTTGAAGAACAGATAATAAAATAAATTAAAAACAAACAAACAAAAAACAGCACTGTCTTCAGTTTTAACTTGATTAGATTATCAGCACCCCTCTTTCACTGGACAAAGTGAGAAGGTGAGATAGATATGAGCTCAAGATGCCTCATTTCCTTTCAGCTTTTTATAGTAGCACTTTTCAAGTTTCTTTTTTATGTAGCAGAATCCATTCTCAAATAAGCTAATTTGATACAATTTATATAGACAGAATGGTCTCTCTGTAGCAAGAATTAACAGCCTGGCAACCAAGAAATTTAAGAGGCTCCCTTCAATATTACACTTAATGATTCATTTACAAAAATTTTGCTTCTAATCTCACCAATTAATTAGTCTTTCTGCTAATGAGTTCTGTTACAGAGATATGGAGACCCAAGAGAAAAATGATTCAACCAAGTGATAGAAAAATGTTTCCATAGGATTGAAAATTAAGACTGTGACCTGCTTGGGGAATCGCTTGTACGGGGGAGAGGGAAGCTACAGTGAGCGGAGATCATGCCACTGCACTCCAGCCTGGGTGAAGGAGCAAGACTCCGTCTCAGGGGGAAAAAAAAAAAAAAGGATCTGTCTATATTCGCCTCCTCATTTTTGCCTCCTCTTCAGGTAAAAAGAATAAAAGATAGGGCTTTGAAGGCTTGCTTCACATTAAACATAAGTTCATGACAACCTCAAAAGAATCTTTAAAATACTGACAGCCATAATACCATCTCTGTTCTTCGCAAAGACTACTTTCTTCAACCTCTGGCTTCGCTTTCTTCCTCCATTTTAGCACATGATCTCATTTTCCTATTTTTTCAGAGAAAAGAGAAATCTCTGGATTGAAACTCCTTCATTCTTCTGATTCCAAACACACCTACTATCAATTCCCTCCTTCTTCCCACTTCTTACTGAAGTGTGGTGAACTGCTCCCCCACCCATCTGAGATTAACCACGTTTGCTTTGAATCTCATCTCAGGAATTATCTATTAATTACTCTGTCTCATATATATTCAACCTCTGTATCTCTTTTTCCCACTAGTTTTTAAGGACACCTGTATCTTTCCCATTTAAACAAATAAATCCCAGCAACCTTCATTTGACTCCCTCTCCCTTCAAAGCCCAATTTCTCAAAAATGCTGCCTGAATTTCCTCATATTCTACTCACTTCAGCTCGCATCAATCTGACTCCCATTTGCCTCCCCGTCAAAATAAGTCTCATTACAGTCAAAATACCACTCTTGTTATGTCCTATAGGTATTTTTAGTTTTAATCTTATTCTGACCTTTTATCAGCTTCAACATTT